TGTTCACTTTTACTTTGGTATCAGCTTCGAAATATAAGTTCTTCTTGTAGCAACAGTTCCAGGCAGACTATTTTTCTTTTCAACACGCGTCGATTTACCGATCACCACTACTGTTCTACCATTCTTCATTATGAATTGATTTCCAAACGAGCGACTTGTTGTGTTTCCTCTCTGCCTTATGCAGTTCCATCTTTCGAACGGTCAATGTAGCTTTCCCAGTCTCGAACCGCAAGCTTTGCTATTTCATTTCTATGCTTCAAGTAGAAGAAGATGAACTTAGATATTTTTCTTTGTTTTTACCAGTGTTTGTTACGTTGATCGTCAACGTTTTGCGATCTTCGTTACACAGTGATATTACATTTGTGAGCTGCTCTGCAGAAATCTCCATGAAACTAGGAAATGTACACAGAAGTGTAGCGTGTGCGTCCGCTGATTTATTCTCAGCGGATTTATTAATGAGTTTTTCCTGATGAATATACTCTGTGATACATTTTTTCTGCAGGGTGGAGGTATCCAATTGACTTAACTGCTATACGTGTTTTAAAGATTGAATTGCATAAAAAGAAAGGTTGCATCAATGGCAGATACTAAATTCGAGCACATATTTCCATCATAAATGAGAGCCAACACTGAAGATATCCGGAACAGGGAAAAACAGGAAACATTTCTTGGCTTTTTTCAGTAAGGATAAATAGAGTCACGAGCTCGCGTATTCGCAAGGAGGAAAAATGGAATCCATTGTGTAGTAGAAAAGCATATATAGCAGTGGATATAAAGAAAAAAGTGCACAGGAATACATAATTTACCTTTCTAATAACCTCTATGCGTTAATTTTAGTAGTAATAGGAACACAGATATCTAGTATATATATTTCATAACGTGAATATTAATCGTATTTCATAATGATATTAATTCTAAGAGACCTTTCCTGATGTCACTGCAACGTATTAATTCATTTTATTGTGTGGTGCTCAGGATTTGAAGGATTATATGAGACAGGCTGGAGAAGTGACGTACGCAGATGCACACAAGCAGCGTAGGAACGAAGGGTGAGTTTCATTTATGAACATCTCAAATAATACAAAATTATACAATAACAAATAATACAAAATAATACAATCTGTTAATGATTCTACGCTAAACCTGTGTCCTATTGATTCCATGTTACAGAGTTGTAGAATTCGCAACGTACTCTGACCTGAAAAACGCCATCGACAAGTTGGACGACACAGAACTGAACGGACGAAGGATCAGATTGATCGAAGACAAAAGACGCGGACGTCGCTCAAGATCGTCTAGCTCGAGATCAAGATCGCGGTCTCGATCAAGATCACGACGCCGATCTCGCTCCCGCTCAAGGTATAATCGTCGTTCTCGATCCCGATCCAGGTACTGTCGGGGGCGGCAGTCTCCAAACATTTTTTACTTATCTTTATTTCTAGCATATTTCTATAGTCTCTCAATTGACCGCAATTATATAACTACATAGCTTTCTCATTGAAATTCAACGTCATTCAATTTTATTACCGATTCAACTCTTTAACATTGTATTGTACAATATTGAATACACTTGGAATTCGGCTTTCACGCATGGCATAAATATTGATTCGTCTATACTGAAAATAATTTTATATCTATTACTGCAATTAGATTGGCGTGAAAAAGTTCAAGGATATTCTTTTATTTGTATAGTATTTAAATCAGAACAATGAAGTATAAATGTAGGAGTTTAAATTAGAGCGCCAACCTAATACACGATTGTTTAGTGGAATTGGTTGGAATAATTGCGACAGATGTTTATAGAGAATGTTTTTGTTTGTGATAGGAGTCGCCGTAGCTCTCGTAGCCGCAGCCGCCGCAGCAGTCGCTCCAAATCAAGGGCACATTCAAAGTCCAAATCGAAGTCCAAATCCAAATCCCCTGAACGTAGCCGCTCCCGTTCCAAATCCAAGTGAGTATCCTGCTTTCGTACGATATCTCGAGTTTACTTTATTGTATCAGTTTATTATTTCACTATAAGTGTCCTGGCGTTTTATTTATTTGCTTTGTTTCTTGCGCAATTTTATCAACGACTCAACCATTGTCGCATACCTTTACACGTTTCACGCCCCATGTTTACTATACATTGGCCTTGTGTTTGGGCTCGTGTTTTTTCTTTTCCTCTTCTTTTTTTTTCGTTCCTTTAAAGAAACGTCTCTTTACGCTCACGTCGTTCAAGTAATTCACGCAGACATTTGTTTCTCTCTTTTTTTCGTTTTTTTTCGTCAAATATTATTTTCACCGCATTTCACGAATCGAAGGAAATGAACGAATTTTCATTGTATGTTTACTCCGTATATTTTTCTGTCTCCTTCTTCATTTGAACTATAATTTTACAGATCAAGAGACCGCTCAAAGTCGAAATCTAAGTCAAAGTCCAAATCCAGATCTCGTTCTAGGTCCAAGGCCGAGAGGTCAAAGTCCAGGTCGCAGTCCAAATCCAAAGCCAAGTCTCCCTCGAAGTGAGTTAAACCGATATAATTAGCGCAAGAAAAGCAAATCCCAATGTTCGTCCGTCTTTTTTAATTCAGCTCCTTTTCCAGAGACAGATCTAGTCGCGAACGATCCAGGGGCGACAGATCAAGATCCCGGTCCGGCAGCAAACATAGCAAAAGCCGCAGCCGTTCACGTTCGCCGATGAACGGAGACAAATCACCAGAAAGTAACAAGCAGAAAGCCGATTAAAGGATGAACACGAATGAGAACGACGAGAGAGAGAGAGAGAGAGAGTGAGTGGCGAGAAAGAAAAGGCGGAGAGAGCGAGAGGGGGAAGAAGAAGAAAGAAGAATTCACACGAGGAGCGAAATTTGAAAGAGAGTTTCAATCTCTTTAGTTTCCTTTTATTTTTTCTACATTACAAAATACATCCAAGAAGCCAATTTCATGCCTTGTTTTACGACGTCCATTCTCCCTGCGATTGGTTACACACCTCTGTAGCTGACGTATTACACGAGAAAACACACGATAACGTCATTTTTATGATAACGCGCGAAAGAAAAAATTCACCGAGTACCCGCGGGAAAGAAAAACAAAATGAAATATGGAGAACGCATAATCCGATTGGGAAAATGTAATTTTTGACGATCGGCTTTAAAGAATGATTAATTGTACATGGTTTACTTAAATGAGAGCCAATCTTGGTACGTTGGTTTCACTTTAATTTTAATTGTAATACATCTTCATTCGAGACACACCACACATCTCATCTAGAAGAATAAGATGTCTTCATACGTACCTTAAACGGACTCTACACGTTTTCGATGTATCGCCGTATATCGAGGAATTCCCTGTAATGGCTTTTTGTATATATTCCTAACAATCACATTACAAATGAGAAGATACGTGATGTGTAATAAATTTAGTGGTAAGAGGTATCTTATTATCAATAAAATTTCATGCCAAGCCTATGCCATCTGTGTTATATTTCATTACCACCCAAATTACCTCCCACAAGAAGATCTCTTCAATTCAAATTTCTTTAAATAATAAAAATAAAACAATAAAAATACTTTCAATAAATTTTCCAAACTCTACGCAATAAAATTCAATCCAAGCCAATGCGAACTCGCTCGAAATCTCGCGGTTCAACTTACGATCCGTCAACGGAATTCGTCACTTGTAACTTGCCATTCGTCGCTTCGAAATCCTCATGCTTGAATGTCGGAACGCCAGGACTCCGAGTGTCAGAAGCATGATCTTCCAAAGTCATTGCAAGGTACCGAGGACGCGGAGGTGATCTGGAGCATGATACTGGAGCGATTTCCGAATGCTGCGCCTCTGCTGTGCGAGATGGAGGCGGTGGTAGACCGCGCCGAGGATCTTCTCCAGCAGTTGCGGGCACCCTGTCAACGGGAAATCGGTTGGTCCGGCAGGAAATTTCCCCGTAGTAATCTAACAGTAGGATAAGGTAGAAACCCTCTGGAATCCTTTACCATTACAGAGACTTCCACCTCCTTCTGCACTCCTGACTCCGAGAACTCCAGCATGTTAATTTCCGCGAGGGAATCCTTGTCCATCGGAAACGATGTAACTATTAATTACAGGAGAGCCGGTGCCTAGGTCCATTTATGACCGTACCGTCGATCTCCTTAATTCTACCCATATTTTTTAACGTCATTCTCGAGGACCCGGTGCTTTAAATCTATCATCTGCCATCTTAGGTTAACCGTTGGAACCAAAAAATGGACAACCTCCTGACAGGTTAGGGATTAATGGACGTAGGCACAGGGGGTTTATAAAATTTATTTGATTTGTTATTGAACACTACTTGTATTTCTATTATATGTATTGCATTCTATAATGATAATATTATGATTCATACTAATAATAATAATAATATCATAATAGAATGCAATAAATATAATAGAAATATAAGTAGTGTTAACAAATCAAATAAATAAATTTTATAAACCCCCTGCCATTAATCTCTAACCTGTCAGGAGGTTGTCCATTTTTATTATTATTATTCAATTATTATTATTATTATTATTACTATGAATCATAATATTAATACTGAGCAGTCCTGTTTATTAAAGAATGCAGAAAACGGTGGCAAAAGCGTCGCAGGAGTGCAGGTGTCGGATACCAACGTCCACGACGCAGATGTTTCACCTGATCAGAATGACATTGCTCAATCGAACGAGTCGCGCACGGTTATTCGACGATCCGTGCTTCCCAAAGACAACGCACGTCTGTAGACTTCTGTTTGACGATCGTTATTGTTTCTTTTTACAATATTTGGGTCTTATCGTGTCTTAGTCGCTGAGCAGAGGGCGAAGGAGGCGCGCAGTTTGGAAGAATGGGAGAAGGTGGTGGACATTGCCATGAAGAAATCGGTTGAGGACGATGGTAATGGATTACTATAAAAGTTTCAGTTTTATTTTTTTTGTTCTTTTAATCTTCAGTAAACGATGGCTTCCGCGAAGACGCCATTGATGCGGACCGGAAGCGTTCTAAGAGCAAAGAGCGGAGACGAAATAGGTCCAGCTCTGATGGTACCGTTTTATATCGACAAAAGCGAATTTTCTTAAACGTAAATTACTAGCGGGATTTCAAAATTTCTAGAAGCTGAGAAAGGTTGCATTATACTGCACCAGCAAGAGAAATGCGCGGCCGTTGGTGACTCTACGATCGAGGTCGATTCGAATCAAACTATTAGCAGCCAAGAACTAATCGAAACTAACGACGACACCGCGACTATGCTTAAAGTAAAACTGCTCGGTAGTTTTAGCGTTAACGCGTTGAACAATGATCCTTGAAATTGCTTGAAGGGAAGCGGCGACGAGAATTCACTGAGAATCCCAGAGAAGCGGACGCCATTGTCTATCCTCGAAGCCTACGCGAAGCGCTGTAAAGTTCAGGTGGCATATCAGCATGTGACCGATGGTCCGTATCGGTATAAATCGAACGTCTTCGCCATACGTGGCAGCCTCGGTGGATTTACCGGTAATTCGACAAATATCAAGCTGCTTCCAAGAAGAGTGTAAATCTATTCTTCAACCGAACAGCAACCACCCTCGGAGACAGCGAGGAGACCGCTAAGAACAGCGTGGCTACTAAGATACTCCAGATGATCGCCAATCAACAAATGGACGACGGGAAACTTGGCACACTCGCGTATCTCTCGAGAGACGAGTAAGTGTGCGTTGCGGAATTTGACTGTGCGACTCGTGAAACGGTTGTTTCACTAATAATGGATTTTGTAGAATGCTGGAGATAAGCAATCTCTGTCTGAAGAGTCCAAGGACAACGGGCCAAAGAAGACTTTACCTGCTCTGCCTCGAGGAAGATCAACCAGTGCCGAAGTACACCGTTGAAAAAGCAGGAACCTACGAAGGCTTCAATTATTCCGCCACTTGTTCCGCGTTGGGCTGCACCAGTAAAGGTATCATTCGATTCTTAACACGTTAAGCGCCACGAAAATCTTAAGCGTTTTCCCATAGAGTTGGTCTTTTGTAGCAAAGAAAAGTAGGAAAAATTGTGAATTGTTTGGCGTTGCAACGGTTGCGTTACACTGTTATCAACTTAGTTGCCTTATTAAACATTTTTATTTCACATCGGTTGTCTTGTATGTTACGATTGTTTTTTAGTCATTCGGAAGCGTCAGTCACCAGTGACTGACATGGCGCTTAACGTGTTAACCCTGGAGTGCAAAGGGTTAATCGAGGATTTCTTTCTCGAGACTTTTATTCGTGATCTTCCAACACAGGTCGAGGCGTTCGGGAATGCGTTGCGAAAAAGTCAGCCGCTGAGGAACTGTACCGTCGTTACTGCCAAGGCCAAAGATCGAGTACAAAGGTAACTGTTTGACCCCTGCTGTCTGTTTCCTATGGCATCTTTGTGATGATCCAAGGCAGTTTCCCAGTTTTCTTGTACCACCAGTAGTCGTAGATCAGCTTGCTGATAATGAGTATCGTCAGGGACGCTAGTATGATATTGATGATGTCTAAGAGATTGATCCAAGGGTCGTCGTCCGGCAGCGCGCAGATCTCCGTGCGCGTTAGGTCCCGTATCTTCAAGAAAGTAGGATGTCAAAAGTGTTGAAAAGTATTGAATATTGAACGTTCGAAATGATTTTGGAAATAAATAGTTTCGCTTGAATGCTATAATGAACGTCTAAGAAACTGAACATAATTTGCTGTTAGAATTTTTATAGGGATTACATAGCAGTAGTATTAAATGCTCGGTAGTTCTAGTGTTAAACGTGAATGAAATTCTCGGATCAATTCTTAGTTCTCATTAGCCTGAGAACGGTTTCTTGTTATTTACCTACCGGAAGTCTCATGAATTTAACAGTAGAACTACTTAGTAATTAGAGTCGGAGAACGCCTACTCACGATTTTCCCATTATTGTCGTCCCCGTTTGTCAACGAACACTTAACGTCGTCGATGTCCTTCACAAGGTTAGCGTATTTGATAATAAGATCCTGAAACGAATTGCTTTTTTACGGAAGCTGTCGACGGTTGCGCGGGAAAAATTACCTGAAAGCCAGGCGTGAAAAGGCAGTCGCAACGCCACGAGTTGTTCCCAAGATACAGACTCACGGCGTTTCCATTCTGCTGTAACACGTTTTGCAGAGCATACGTGGGCAGCTGAAACAGTGGCAACAGAAACTAATCATCTCTTAAAACGCTTAAGCTCTAATTACCATGTTAAGTACTCTGAATACAAATCCTCTAGCAAAGCAATGTTTGTTGACTCGACTCGCCGTCCGTATATTAATCATTTCTGCTGTGTTAACCCTTTGAACTCTGTAGGTTCCAATATTGCACCAGTTACAATATTAAATATTTCAATGAATCTTAAAGAAACTACCCTAAAATTATTAGATTCTCCACACATCCAAATTTTCTACTAAGGAAAATGAAAGATCTAAGAAATGTTATAGCATTGTTCATTTTCGCTAGTACTATAAAAATTAGTTGCAGTTGCTGATAGATTACAAAACAACCTGGAGTGCTAAGGGTTAATGAATCTAAAAGAAAGAAACTACCCTAAATCGGTTGCTAATCAACTTTTCATGTTCCATTAAAACACAAGAGAACCACGAACATCGGTCAGCTTGTTCCCACGAAGACTGAATAACCGGAAGTGGTCCACCCAGCTTGATCCCTCCAGCTGGACGATGCTCTCGATCTGATTGTCGTCCAGGTAGAGATCTATCACTCCTCTATACACTGGATTAGTCGTAAGTGGTGTGAGATCTTGTATCTGCAAGAAAGCGAAGCGTCAATTGCCATTTTAGTCAATGTTTATATCGATTGTAGATTGTAGATTGTAGATTGTAGATTGTAGATTGTAGATTGTAGACTGTAGACTGTAGATTGTAGACTAAAAGCTACAATCTACAATCTACAGTCTACAATTTTAATTTACAATTCTCAAATTCACCTTATTTCCAGTCAACCGAAGAGTAGTCGTGTTCTCCGGCAAGAAGCCAGGCATCTCGATCAGTCCACGATGACTACAGTTCACCGCAGCGAATGCCATCAGTTGCCTCTGGATGTGCTTCCCTCCTTGGCCGACAACGTACACCAGCTCGCACTCGCACACCGTCCTCTTGCACTCCTCCGCGAGCTTCTGCAATGGCAAATCTGTTAGACACGCGTACAGATTCCTGAGTCGATACTTTGGAATAATAAATGAATAATACTGAACACGATGCCGACTTCGATTATTTCGACCACTTGGAGCAGCGGTCTGTTCTCGTAAGGCGCGGTGCATCGAAGGCTTTTCTTATCGGCGATTTTATGGCTGAGGGAACCCTTTCTCTGGTCCAGTATCCACTTCGTCTTCTTGTCGCATTTTAAGGGATTACCTTCGTCAGACGATTCTCCGTTTATTTCAATGAAACGCGAGCAAACGAGCTCTAGCAACCGTAGACTCCCAACTCACCGGACAGATAAACGTGACGCAAGGAAGGACTGTCGAGCGCTGTCATGTTAGCGTCGTCAATGTTGTTGTTCCTCAGGTCGAGAGTCCTCAGGTTAATCAGGTTGGAGAATACGCGATCGGGCAGCTTTTGTAGCTTGGTCCCGGTCACCTTGATCGTCTGCAGTGTTCAATGTTAACACGTTGAATGCCGTAGGGTCAACAGTGACCCCCGGTTATATTGAATAATTATGAATTATTCAATTAACACGTTGACTGCCACGGAAACCTTCAGTTTTCTGTATCGCTTATTTTGTAGCCGAGATGAAGAACGGTTATTTATTAGTTGATATCAACAGCAAGATAAACGTGGAATAATAATAAACGATGCAGTGAAATAATTTGATACTATAGTTCCATTTTGTGTATTTCGCGTATTTTTCAATCGTCCGGAATCAACTTGTTAATATCGTATTCACTGTCACAATCAAAAGGATCCAGTGATCATTAACATACCTCTAGCAGTCGAGTTTCAGGTGGGAACGTTGACGAGAGTTCAAGCAAACTGCCATTGGCAATTACCAATTTTCTCAAGGAAGGGAATCCGTGCAGTTCGAGCGCGGGATCGAACTTCTCCAGGGACCAATGGCAGAGGATCAAAGTTGTCACATTTTCACCGCTAGAATATTCAAATAGTAACTTTCAAAGGAGTCGCAGTCAATTGTAAGTACTTATCAGAATGCGAAACCGAGGTATTTACCCGGATTTCCATTTATCGTCGACAGTGTGAAAGCAAACGAGCAGGCGATCGTGTTCCCTGAACTCGCACTTGCGCTCAAATCCATCTAATTGCAGGTGCCGGAAGTGGCAGTTTTCCTCATTCGCTGATGAGACATTTAGCTGTGAGAGCCAGACTATCGTCCTACGTGGTAGACAGTGTTAACAATTGTCTGTTCGAATTTGCGCATCAATGGCGGCCGACTTAGGATTCGGGCGTTCAAAGGTTTCGATGCTTCTGTACACGAGAGGCTTAGATGTTTGAACATCCATCACCCCTGACAACTTTCAATTTCAGCTTCGAGTGCATCACAATATTAGCAGGGTGCTATCTAATCTCCGGGGACTTAATTCCTAAGCACACACGGAAGCATCGGTTCCTTGCGCAGCAAATTGCCTATGCAACCAGTGACTGTCCTATTGCTTATCTAATCAGAATCGCATCGGGTCTCGTACTCTTTCCATTGTACAAAGGCCTACCGCGCGATTGATCATAAAAGCGATCGCAGCAAATTTAAAATGACTCGATGGAAAGAATGCTTGTGCTCGAAGGCCGCTTCTACCTATTATTTACCCGACTGATTCTGAATTTCGCGCAAACAGAGACGTTACCTTCCGAGAAACCTAACGCGACGCGAACCGAAGAGTAATCTCTCCACAAAATTTACTCGTAACGAAACCGTTAGCTCGTTAGAATGACGGGGACTGCTCGAAATCGCAGATAATAGTTACTTACAGCAAAGCAAGACCAAACGAAGAGGAACACATTCTCTGATCCTTCGACTGCGCAACGATTCTCCGGCCGATTAGAAATGTAATGGATCAATTGATCTTACTTTAGAAGTCAGAAGTTTGGCAGGAAGCGAGATCTCATAATTCCGCGCCGCACAAGTGTCGACTGGTTGGCTATCGATGCTAATGAGAAAATCGAAGGTGGTCCCCGACTCTCGTCGGATGACCAACTAAGACGTCGCCGGGGTTTAACTGGAAAAGAACATATTGCAGAATGCGGGCGCAGACGCAGATATTCGATTTACATAGTGCATTAGTGCATGCTGCGATACGCGAGTGCATCTTTTTCGCGGGGAAAACTGCGATTAACCCCTTGCCTAATGATTTCTTTCTCAACTCCCATCGATACTACTACTGTGTCAATAATTTATTGGGAAGAGAAAAATTCTAGGCATATTCTGTGACTATATGCTGATATTGTTTAAGTATCATAATTGATTACAGCAGAATAATATTAATAGTATTAATAGTATCAATAATATTAATAATACCAATAATATTAATAGTACCAATAATATTAATAGTATCAACAGTATTAATAGTATCAACAGTATTAATAATATCAACAGTATTAATAGTATCAATAGTATTAATAATATTAATAGTATTAATAATATTTACTTTGAATTCGAACAAACTGAATAATATTTATATTTGTTAATCAGATTAAAAATTGTCATAAGGCAAGGTGTTAACAGCTACCTATGTATATGTAATTATTCTTCATAATTTGCAAGCTCCAGTGATCACTTGTTAAATAAATAGTCGACCTGTTAAATAAATAGGAAATCATTCATTAATTGATTCCAATATAGTCTATTAGTACAATAAAACTTGAAGTGAAGTAACGAATACGAACTATGCAGCATACTCGGTTTGAAATGCGCGCCCAGATTACCGGTACCTCCATCGTCTTCATGTGATCCTAATACCAGACGCAAAAATCGGCAACAAATTCAGTTTTCTTCGTAGCAGCGCCATCTATAGTCAAGTTATCTCTATTACCGTTATCAGCACAGACTTAAAATACCTAACAGACCTTGCAGCTTATGGGAATTTTTGTTTGGGACATCCGAGCTCTCAACATCCCGTACCATTTGCGTGTAGCGTTCGACGTTACCGATCAAACGTTTCACCTGGTTTAGCAGCTGCACATTCCATTTCTGCTACGGGTTTGTCATACGATTTAGCAGCAACGAATGTAATAAGGATAGAAAACAACATTCTCTATAGCTCCGTCCTACTCCGTTGCATTCGGTCTCCTTTTGTCCTGTTGCTGCGCACCAATGACGATTGCGTCCAAAACCGTGGCGGTTGAAAAACATGGTGAGTGGAAGGCTCCATGACCTTTCGTTACGAATAACCGCTGACGCTTCTCACCTGTAGAGAAATAAATACAAACTTAACTTTCTGGAGCAAGTAATGAAGTAATTAAAAACTAAGTCATTTTTAGAAATTGAAGAAATTAAAAATTGGTCTTCTGAAAGACTTTCATGTCACAGTATTAGGCAGCTTTTGTCTGAATGTGATGCAAGCTTCAGACGACACACGTGCAATGTGCAAAGGTATCTTTAATGCAAAAGAAAAGAAAAATAATTTAAAAGTTGAGAAAGAATTATTTTACTTCGAATGTTAATCCTCTATAGGTTTGTGTGACTTTGAAGTTACATATCAATATATTGTACATCAACATAGGTACATATGTATTCAATGTTTTAAATAATTGATAAATATTTGAGGAAAAATATTTCATTCTAAATATAAAATGAATGATAAACGTTCGAAAAACAATACCTTTTTCAGAATTTAATAATAGAAGTATACGTATTCAAGACTTTATGCTACTAGAGTATATAGTTCAGAAGTTGACCGTTGACAGGAAGAGTCCATGAAGCATTGCGGCATTTTTGACGTCGGTATTTCAGACCGGTAGACAGAAAAATACATTGTATGCACAGGCCTGCACAAATCTTAAGTTGCGAAGAGATACAGGAATTCGTGTTCCATACAGTGGTGCCACCTACAACTGAATGTCCTGAGACCTCTTGTCCTGTGATATTATCCTAGTACGAAGTACAAAAACCGACACCGAATTCATCGTTGCCATGGACGTATTTCTTGGAACCGTTGCCTGCGCCACTGTCATGTGATCCTAACGCAACATGCATCTTTCGATGGAAAATTCATCGTAGCTATAGAAGCATACTTCCAACTGTGAAACCTCCATCGGTCGTATGCGATCCTAACAATAGAAGTAGATTTTGAGTCGAGTCTCGCGATTATCTTATTTTGAACGACGAATTCAATGGAAGCAGTAGTGCCGCATGCATGGAAGAAGAGAAATTGAAATAAATTGACAATCGTACGGAAAGAATAAAAATTCACTAAACGTCGAACATGCATTTCTTCGGTGTTATTGATTTATTTATGTTTCCATATAGACGCGAGTGTTCATATATATCGGATATCATTTTACAGAGGTGAATAAATAATTGATATGATTTTTCGTACAAAGTGCCCTGTTTGAGATAACGGGATCTCGTTATACTGGAACCAAAATAACTTGAACTCGCGTATTTGTTTTCATTTTTACGTATCTTCCATTGGTCTAATGAATTAATCGCTAAGTTCGTCCTTAGTGGAACGCTAGTTTCGCAATTAACGTAAAATATAATAAAGAAAATCAATGTCCACTCACTTAGGTTCCATATTGTTAAGGTGCTTTCAAAATTGACGTTGAAAATATTGAAATAAATCCTAGCTACTTACTTGTACTCATAACGATGCTACTCGACTGTCTGAATTAATATTAAATATAAATATTATTTAAAAAATTATAGGCATTAAATAACAATGAAAAATTGTCGCAAACAACTGACCAATCATCGAACTGGACAAATCTGTTCTGCGGTTTGATTGGTGGCGTTCTGGAGAATTTGTTCGTGAAACGTGTTCTCTTTTACCAGCGGAAGTTAACTGATCGAGAACTGTTGCGAATCGCCGGCCAACCATCGAATTGGACAAATGTGCTCTATTATTTGATTGGTACTGTTCTTCAAGATTTGTCCAAAACATGTATCTTCCTTCACCAGCAGAGGTCCTAATGCGAATCTGGACTCTGTGAAAAAGCATTCCCATTGAGGAGCCGTGGGGCGCCGTTTGCAGATCCATAGGTTTTCCGAACACGCACCCCATACACACGAATCGCTTTCACCCTTGTGCTGCCTGTGTTTGATGAAATTTCGGCGCGTAAAGTGCCTGGAATTGAAAGTCGGGATCGGTATCGTCCAGCGCCGTGATAACACCGCGATCCACGTCCATCCACGGTCCTGATTATATTTCGCGCCCAAATATGTCAAGTACAATATCAGGCATCGCAGTTGCCAGGCTCGGCGAAGAGCGAAAAGCATGGAGGAAAGATCATCCTTTCGTAAGATATCTGCTTTACCGCTTCTACTTGCTACGGTCTCGAGTCGCGCCTTACTAACTTTGTAATCTATTGTATGATACTTCTAGAATGTCCCTCCTTTATAATCCAGTAAAATCTAGATGTTTCTTCACCGAATGTTGTTCGAATACAAACAACGGTTTGTTATCGACAGTTCGGGGATTATTCCTTGCAAAATGACTACTCGGTTGATACCATAACCTTAAGGTTATAAACTGTTTTTCAACACTGATATATCGCTGATACGAATAAAACAGTTTAGAACTGTTGCCTTTGTAGAACTTTCTTCTCGTTGGGACTTAATAAATTATTGACGGTTTTATTGAGAATATGGATCAGTATTCTGAGACACAACAGTTAGGAATTCCTCCATTTTTAAAATACTACCCACTTTACTTTGAAGATTTTGTATAGTTTAGTTGGGAAACTGTAAGCTTCTTTTCTGTATGAATGTCTTAGAGTTTTGCTATGGGTAAGAATCGAAAGGAATTAGGATCGTAGATTGAATGATTTACATTTTAGGGATTCGTAGCAAGACCAATTAAAAATCCAGATGGAACTCTTAACTTGATGAGCTGGGAGTGTGCAATTCCTGGGAAAAAGTCTGTAAGTTCGATTTTACAATTCGCTGTTGGTGTAAGACTTTGAATGAAATTACATCTTAAATGTGGTTCTTAGATTAATATCATTTAATACTAATTGTTATAGACGCCATGGGAGGGTGGATTATACAAATTACGCATGATCTTCAAAGATGATTATCCCTCCAGCCCACCAAAGTGTAAATTTGAACCTCCATTGTTTCATCCAAACGTGTATCCCTCAGGAACTGTTTGTTTGTCACTCTTAGATGAAGAAAAAGATTGGAGACCTGCTATCACTATTAAACAAATCTTACTTGGCATACAGGATCTGTTAAATGAACCAAATGTCAAAGATCCAGCTCAAGCAGAAGCATACACAATATACTGGTAATATTTTTGGTTCGTACTGGTTTGAATTCAAATCGAGAGGCACAGCGAAACAAATAACTTCTTATATTGTTACAGTCAAAATCGCTTGGAATACGAAAAACGTGTCAGAGCTCAAGCTAGAGCAATGGCTCCCCAGGAATAAGTTTACATTAAGTATCATTAAATTCAAATATTCCAGCTATAAAGAAGTTATTGTATACCTATAGTATATTCTAATATTCTTATCTTTTTTATAAGTAACATTAATGTATAACGTAGTTAATTTTCTATTATCTGCATTTTCTTTTGTGTAACAAAATTCTCACACATAATTATTAATATTCTGTATTAATTATGTGCTACATTAAGTATGAAAAAAACAAGATATTGCCCTCTCTCAAGAAATTATCTATATTCTCACGTCAAGTTGTATTCGGAAGACTTTTTGTTGACAATTTTTTTTTTTATTATCTACAGTACTTCTTAGTGACTTCTTTCTGAGCTATCACTTAATTTATAAGGCTTAGTGACTACTATTGATAAGTATTTGTGGTGAACTATGAACGAGATTCTACAATGAAAATGAGAAGAAAACCAAATTTTCCCTTCAATTCGTAAGTAGTTAGTACCTTCAAAAAAGAATGTATTTAAAATTCAGAATCTTTTTAAGTTTATTAAATATACGAAGTATATTTCTTACAATCTATTTAAAGAAAGTTCTGTCAATTGATATTATAATCGTGACGAATTTGATATACTCGATGCCATCCAAAAGCCTGAGTGGTGGGAAGAGATTACAGTGCACATTCGATATTAAAAACACTTGTCATTGATCACGTCGGTTCAATCTTGCTGCATGTTTCACGCTGGTTTGATTATCGATCGCCGCAACCGCCTTATTCGCGACCATCGTGAAACATGACTTACCGTCCGAGAAATTTTTAAGTGGAAATACTCATTCGATCGGTCGAAATTACTGTCACGCGAACGCGGTCCTCCGTTACATTTAAATTACTCGTGGATTTGTGAAACTTGTCGAACTATGTCTAAACGGTCAACATGGAAATTAAACGCTGCAATTACGTCGGCATGCGTCCTAGGATTTGCCCTCAGTTATTACGCGTATATCGTGGAAATAAAGAAAGAAGAAGACGACTCTTACGAGGCAATGTGCGACATTAGCGAACACATCAGCTGCACGAAACTATTTACGTCCGAGTAAGTTTTCACGGCATTTATATCTATAAGGTATTTGCGTATTCGCCGATTCGAGCGGTGTGAAGTTAGCAGCACCTCTTCAGATACACCGAGGTTTCAAAGAACGTTTAACACGTATCGATACGAGCATTGAAGTAATTGAAACGGATGAATATTATTTTTGCTTCAAAGTATGATTAAATAATGCTGCATATCGCTTATATAAAGTTGTTTACCAATGCTGGAACGATGAAAAATTTGAATCAGTCTGTATCACATGCAAATCAACCTTGAATGAAACACATAGGAGATTACAAGTTATCAATTAATTCGGTACATTGAATATTGCATTGAATTTAATTGGTATGAATATGTACACGCTTAACCTACAGTGTATGGAAATTTGTTCGAATAAAAGGGAACATCCGCAGATGGTCGTTGATACGACGTATAACATGTGACATTTGAATAACTGTAATTGAAAAAAGCATTTTATTTCAGCTACGGAAAAGGTTTCGGAATAATTCCAGAAACGTCTCCTTTATACATGCTAAATCCTATATATGGATTAATATTTTATGCTTTGGTCGCGATACTCAGTACGTATTACTTTCACGTATCTGCTATAATGCGGCGGAAGTTTTCCATAGATATCGCGCGGGAAATTTAAAAATAGACAATGAAACGATCTACGTAGTTTGAGTGGCGAAAGCTAATGAAAATAAATTAAACGAGGCACGCGTTATAGCAGAATTGTTTCTTAATAAAATATTTTATTCTATCGTTTATTAATATGCTAATAAGTGTTTGTTTTTTTAGATGTGTTTAATAAATATCCCACTTCAATCCTCGTCGTGACGTTGGGAGTTTGCGCGAATCTTGGTACGATTTATCTGGCCTACATTTTGTACATTCTGAATAACGTGTGTGTGGTCTGTGTTAGTTCTTACATTATAAACGCTGTTATTCTAATACTTGCCGTTAAGAAACATCAAAAATTATCCCAAGATGGCACGAACAAGAAGAAAAAGAAGAAGAATTAAAGATTTCTAAAGAGGATGCTGAAGATTCACAGTTACAATTCGTTAAGAACATCCATTAGAATCAATCGATTACTAAGCAGAAGCTTTTGCTCTGTTTTAATGAATTAATCATATCCAAGCCAGATATAAGATTACGATCATGATTATTAACTGTTAAGATACTCTTGAGATGAGCCATGTTACTAACAGAGTCACATGTTCCATTTAAATCTACCTTTTACTTACTAGTGAATAATAGATGTTTATGCATTTATAATGAAAGTAATATCCAGATTTTTACAAAGAAAATAAATATATATATATGTATATCCATTTAGTTTGTCTCTTTAGAAATTATACAATTACAAATGTGCATAAACATCAACGAGCTCACTTCCATATTTTATAGATCGTAATGGCGTTACTTCTCCGCACTATTTTGATATGCAATTTACGAAAATAAATTTTATCTTTATACAACTGCGATAAATAAGATTATAAACGGAAACGTTGTTCATCCTTCTCTACCGATTTGATATGTAATCTTGGATTGTCGTCTGACACAACGAGATAAAAGAAATGCATTTCACATAACCTGAACCACAGTAAAATTAAGTATTCGATATACCATCCACTAAGCAATGTAACGTTACTTTGTACACAGAACAATGTCAATTCGCGATGTATACAAATAAATCCATTCCAAATAAAGAATTTCAGGTTACATGTCTCCAGCAACAAAATCAAATCATTCCGTCGCAATACAAAGTCGAATCGGCGAGTGGATCAAATTTCTCAAAGAATCACCGCCAGATCCTAAACTTCGTATAACCTAACTTAAACTAGTCCTCGAATAATTCAACGAAAAGAACAAATTTAGTATTCGTATCTGGTGTCCTTCAACAAATCTTTATTGCTACGACTGATACTAGCCAATATACCAGGACTTTTCAAGGGTGGCGTTTCGTCGAGCCGATTGAACTGCAGGCTGGACGTGCAGGGTATCCTCGGCGACGGCGCGTTGCTGCCATTTCTGGCCGCTTCGACGTTGAAGCTCTTGCTGCGGGACAACGAGGACTTGTACGTCCTTTCCGGCTTCACCGGGGCCTGAACACTTTGCACGGGGATTTTCGGCGATTTCACCGTGTTCTTTATCGATATATTGATCATGCTCCCGTATTGGCGGGACTGGTTCGACGGCGGCGGCGGGGCCATAGTATGGTACGCGGTCTGTTTTACCGGTTGCTGGCGTCGTGGCGCCAACTGGTTCGCCGATCTAGCCGCCTGTCCGACCGAGTGCAGGTTCCTCGGTAACGTTTGCGTCGTCCTCAGGTGCTCGTCCCTCTCGTAATCGTTGACCAATCGGCCGGTGGACTTGCTAAACCTGCCTAGGGAACTGGAGGCGACGCTGAAACCGCGCCGATTCGAGAATTTCACTGGCCGGTTTGCCGGAGGACCGCTCTCGGTCAGCCGAAAACTACTGCGTAGCGGCAACACATGCTCTCCCCTTTCATGCAGCCTTCACCCATTGTCGAAGCGACCGACTTTCGTCGACGTACACACGATTTATAGGCCAAGCGAAGCGCAACGTCTCGGATCTAAGCCGATTACGCAAGCCCGTATCGGCTTACCGTCAACTATCTCTCGACGCTTCGCTCGCGGACGAGTAACAAGACACCCCGCCTTACAATTAGCTTGCACCACGCGGATCGATTAGCCGTTTTTAAGGGTTTTCTCAGGCCCCTGCATGCGAAATGTCGTTCCCCGCCGGCGCGCTTCGAGGCGCGTGGATTTCTTCGAGTAACGCGTCGAGGGAGGCGTTTTATCGCGCGTGGAAGCCGTTTCAACGGTGGATGACTTTAACCCTTTGAACTCTGTAGGCTCCAATATTGCACCGGGAATGATATTAGATATTTCAATGAATCTTAAAGAAACTACCCTAAAATTATTAGATTCTCCACACATCCAAATTTTGCACTGAGAAGGAAAATGAAAGATCTAAGAAATGTTACAGCATTTCTAATTTTCGCTAGGAATACTATAAAAATTAGTTGCAGTTGCTGATAGATTAACAACCTGGAGTGCTAAGGGTTAAGGGGCCAATTTGAAATTTCAATTATTACTTTGTATACTTCATAACATTTACGCGTGAACGAAATAGCGAAAATATAATAAATATTATCCAATTATTATTATTATTATTATTATTATTATTAATCTGACCCTCGATTTACGCGGACTGTTTTCACGCGAGCCTCTTTTATGCGTAAATTGGAATAATTTCTCATACAGCTCTCATACAGGGTTTCCATTACTTTTGGGGTTAAATTGAAAGACAAGTAAATAAAGAGTCCGGTATGGAACGGGTTAAGTTTATGAGTCTGAGAATGTTTAGTAGCAATGTCTCAAGAATTGATCCTATGATAACCACGCACCACTCCACTAATGTGTATTACTGAAATAATTACAACCTGTATCATCCACCATTGAAGCTAGCCCCGCATGTAAAGTACTCCTGCACAGACTGTGACAAAACTGTCTCGTTGAATGTTTATCAACCCATTTGCATCGTGACTCTACTTAAGTTTCTGTGTTCAGACATCAGCGTTCACAGATAAATCAAGCATCAAAGCTATTTCATTCAAATATTTCACGTAGTAATACAACGTTTAATCCAAAATACTAAACATTCCACTTCATAGTTTCGCTGCATCAAATCAAGCGGTGACTAGAGTCACCTCTCGAGTGCAAAGGGTTGAACAGTTGGAAGCAGTATGTCACAATCTAAATGAGACGACCCCTTTCCCCTCTCTATTCGCTTGCAGCGTGGCTGACACGAGACGACATTTTGTATGCATCGACCTAATAGTAGCTCGGTTACCTGTACTCTGTCTCGGGAGCGGCTCTAGTACGGGGCTTCCCCGACCGTCTTGCGTCTCTGTACCCTTTTTCACGGCCGTAGATGCTTCCCCCGAAGGGATCCTCCCCTAGATAATACCTTTGAACAGGTGGCGTCGACTCGCTCCTCTGCCACTGTTCCTGAACGACACGCTCGCTGGTCCTGACGGTTTTACCGATCTTGTTCCCATTATTATTCAGGACCGCGTTCTTCGACGACCTAGCTGGCCGTTCCGGTGGCTTCTCCTCGGCGTCTCTCTCGTTCACCAAGGGAATATTCTTGTCGATCACGTTATACTGCAGATAAGTGGGCCCGTTGTCGTCGGTCTGAGTCAACTGCGAGGTGGAACTGCTACTGGCCCGTTTGTTCTTCCTCTCGGAGCTAGCCGAGCGCAGCTTGCCCACCAACTTCCGGAAAGATTCCCCTATTTTGTACTTGGAGTGTCCCGAGCCTTAAACCATCATCGTAGAATGAGTCCATTGTCACTTAACCCTTTGCAGGTGCCTCTCAGTCTTGAATTGATTCGACAAAGCAAAATCGTAGAATTTGATATTTAATATTAACCCTCTGCAGGCCCGTGTGACTTTGAAGTCACACATCAATATACTGGGTTAAATTGATTTATTTTATTTTTTATTAAAAACTGACGAATGCCATTAAATAATTGATCAACTTAAACTTTCATATACACAGGAGTTTACGTTCAACGTAACTTCAAAGCTACAAGATACATCCGTTTGAATAAAATTATTGAAACTATTGAATATACTGTTATTTTCTGTATTCTAATGATTGTATTCAGGAACACGTACTTTTAGCCGGTCGAGCAGGACTCGGCGTCTCGCTGGCCTTTTTGTTGTTCTTCGGTGTCAACTCAGGTGCAGGTGAAGTTGACCTGGACCTGGACCCCGTCTTCTTCTGTGTATCCCGGTCCAGTGTTTGCTCCTGCACCTCTCGACCGCGGTTCTCCCAAGTTCTCTGTACAACGTGGACAGGACTCGAGGTTCGAACCGGCACCGAACCGTTCAAGCTGGCTCGTTCCTCGGACTTAGCGGACCACTGGAAACCATCGTCATTAGTACTAACTTTGATGCACCGAAATTTGGGATACAGAATTGCATAGAATGCGAAACTATACGAAATCAATGAAGTGTGCTTTTCATCAGGACAAATATTTTCTTATTTATATTCTAAATTGAAATTCACATAATGGTTCCCAGTCTATTAGCATCCATACTGATAACAAAATAATAAGCTTCAACTGTCATACCTATCTTAGTAGCAAAGTTAGAACAATGATCTTTTTGAATTTCTAGCATTTCGAACAGTAATACTTATTCTTTAATAACAAAGGTAAATGACATTGAAAATAATTATTAATGATTTACTACTATGATCTACTTATGTTACTAAATATTTTTATCCAAAATCAAGTTTCTTATTGCAATTGTTCTTCAGCAATTTGGAGGCTCCGGTCATCGGTGACCACTATGGCAGTCAATGTGTTAAAATGCAACTTTTATCATTCACCAGTCTACTTTCTAAAAGGACTTCACACCTGTTCCTTGGACTTCCTGCGAACCGGCGGAGAAGGGGTGCGTTGCCGGTCGTTCACCAACTCCTGGTGCTCGCGACGATGAACGGATTCGTACGTTTTCGAGTACGTGGACTCTTGGACCTGGTTGTTCCTGAGGTGGTCGTTGCTGTTCCCGTTCGTGTGAACGATTTCCACGTACTGCGACGGAGAGCTCGTTCTCACGTGATTCTGTCTTTCTGGATGACAAACAGTTTCCTTAGTTAACGTCCTTTGTCCTTAACAATTCATTAAGGAAAGAACAAATTTTGTTGCTTATTCTATCGACGTTTACAGGACAACAGTTGACAACAGAAAAATATCATTAAATCTATATTAAAAAAGAAATAAATACTCAGGTTTCTCGAAATCAATCAAAAACCTTCGTCACGAGTCTGACACGACATGGTGGGTCAAGGGGTTAATTGTCCTCTATCCTGCTAAATACCTCTGCCCTGATATCTCTCGGACCAGTCGCTGATCCCGTGGAAATAGCCCGAAGGCGAGGTCGAGTCTCTGCCAGTGCTTCGATACGTCTGCCTGTTGGAGTTCCCATTTTGACAGTCCCGTTCCTTAGGGGCGCAGGACTTCATGGTGACGTTGATGTAGCTGGTGTTGGTGCTGGTCGGCAGGTGCGTCTCGTCAGCCTCGATGGAGCCGTGGGAGGACCGCGACTCGCTGCCGAAGTGACTCTCCAACCATTTCGAGGTCTCGAATTTCCTGGCTTCGTCCTCTTCTTCGAGGTCCAGCGGCTTCTTCGTCAGCACGTCCTTTCGCGAGGGGAATCCCTCCGCGGGGAACCCTGCAAACGATTCGTCGATATATAAATAGTCGAGTTGCAGCGGAAATTAACGCTAGAACTACCAGTATTTTCTTGTAAAACTTGTAGAAATACGTTTGTTGAGTTCTCAATTTCTTTATAGTAGTTTGTACTTATCTACATTAATTTTTTGAGTCATTTCTGAGAAAATCGTTGGATCGTAAGTCAATTGAAATCTCGATAATAGCTGCACTCTTAGAGTCCTTATAGAAGAATTCGACTGCTCGGTAGTTCTAGTGTTAAGGTGTCTAAGAATCCGGCAAGGTCTACCAGAGTGCTTATGGAAACGAGCGGTCCTCATGGCCGTCGTCAACGGTGTCCAGTCGCCGATGCGTTCTCCCTCGGTCGTCTCCGCGACGTACCGCATCTCTCGACCAACCCTCTCGCCGCCCGAGATGTAATCGACCACGTCTTCGTCCCTCTTCTTGACGAACCTCTGGGAGCTCTCTTTCCTCGTCTCCGTCGCCTCGTCGCCATTCAGATCGTCGCTCACGTCATCGGGAACCTCGTCGTCCTTTATCTGTGACCCACATAGCAAACATTCTAATACATCGCGTACGAATCATATCTATGTACAATCAGAATATCCAATCATTCAAACTGTTCCATGGCCAGCAAACTCATTAGGAAACTAAAGAAATCAAGGCTCAATCCGTCTCTAGGTTTACTGTAATTCGTTATAATTGAGGATAGAATAATCGCTTTGAAAATCGTTCAACTTAGACGAAGAGAAACATCCGAGATAGGAATCGCGTAAATGTAAATACAAAGTTCGCGATAAGATCGTTAGGCGTCCAAGATATAAAACATCAATGTTTCTAGGAACAATAGAATGAACTATTCATAAACCTAGCTAGCATGAATCTAAAATTTTTCCGTAAACTTCACTTGACAAAAGTTTCCAATCGTCCTTCATGCTACTAATAAAAATTTGGTAAATTTCACAATTTCAAGTTAACACGTTCCGTGGCGGACCATTTTTCCAAGACTTTCCGTTCAGGCCGTACGAGGCGTATACGACCCTCACCTTTACAATCAATTAAAATTAAACAAACACAGTATACACGATATTAAAATACCTATTTCTGACTCTACACTAAATTTATAAAAAGTTCTTCGTTTTCCAATGAAAATTCATTTTCGGTCTTCACGGAAAATTCAGCGTGGGTCGTATACGCGCCACGCGGCACGGGACGCGTTAAGAAAAATTCGGCGGTATAATTTTTCTCTGGATAAAAAGACCGACGGGGTACCGACCTCCTCGTGCTCCACGGTGCGCTTTCTCTCGGTGACGATCAGCCCGTCGGGTTTCAGCTCCTTCTTCTCCAAGGTCTTTTCCGTGTCGATCACCTTGTTCGATTTGGTCGTGTGCTGGACGACCCTGGGACCTGTTTGCGACGCCAACTGCTTGCAGGACTCGGCTAGGGCGGCCCTCAGGTCGCCCCGGTTCGTCCTCACCGCGTTCTGGTAGGCCTGTGCACGCGTGCGAGAACCAGATGAGTCACTCCGGTCAGGTCGGGACACCCGCGGACCGCCGGTCGTTATCCGAGGCCTAAAGATCGGCCGGGCTGGCGCAACGGACCGAAATATCCCGCCGCGGATAAACCGGATCGTCCGGCGACCGGCCTTCGGCCCGGCTCTTGCCTCCGTTCGACAAGTGGATGGAAAGGTGTTTCTAACGGCTGAGGTCACGACACCCGGCCCCCACGACAAAAATAAAACCGGGTTAGAGGGGTCTTGCGAAAGATTCGCGCGCACCGCTGCCGATCGATCTCGGCTGAAAAGAGATCTCCGCTCAAAGGACGATCCGTCGTGCCTCTGAATCACCGGAATGGAAAGGCTGCTCGTCGACAGGACTATTCTATCGTACAAATACAACTAACAGACTCCACTGAAAGTGAATTAAACGAGTAACGAGCTATCGCGCTCGAACCGAGCTGGCATCGCGTCCCATCGCCTGACAGAACCACCGAAACAGCGATCATTCCAAATGAAACCTCGCGTCACGAGAAGCTACCCAACCGAATGAAGCAATAGACCTCACTCGAAGCCGAGCGCCGACACAACCGCGTCCGACCGCGCGTTGAAATCACCGAAACGTCAACCTCTACCGAACCAACTGCAGCGCGAACGACTCGGAAACGTTCACCGGAGACCGACGAAGATCGCGGTAACCTTGCGGAAGATCGACTCCTCTCGAATCGAACTCCCCGTCTCTCTTTTTGGGAACGACGGGGCACAAGCGGAGCTTCCCTGCGACGTCGATCGCGGAAGCACCGGCGATCGTGGAACACCGCGCACTGATCCAGCGGTCCGTCGATCGGATAAGCGGCGCAACGAGTCCGCGGCGGAATCGGCTACCGCATACCGGTGCCCCGGGTAACTCGGCGGCGAGAGAGGACGTCGCGTCCCTTATCGTGCAGGATCGGCGCGAGATCGGGACGGAGGCGACGGAGCCTGGAATGCCCTGGACACGCGAGAGAGGCCAGAAACCGGCGAGGATAGGCTCGGCTCGGGAACGAACAGCTGGTGCGACTGGGTCCGCGTCCCGTGCGGGCCGGTTCGCCGGCATTCAGGTGAAGGGAGAGCCAACGACGCGACGTACCCGAGAGATCATCGACTTCCACTTCTCGACCCTTCCCTCTTCGCGCGTGCTCCCCTGCGCTGTCCCTCTCTCCCTTTCTCTTTCTCCGTCGCTCGTCCGCGTTATCCCTACCTGACCTGTTCCTGCTCGTCCTGAACGGAGCCTCTTAACGCTTTACCGACCGATAGCCTATTAATCGGCTTTTTACAACTGACGCTTAGTCGGAGAATCTTGAGCGACTGGGCCGTGAGAGAAGCGTGTACGCGACTGAATTTTAACTGTGGACGAAAGATGCGAGCGAGAAGGGTGCAAGGGTGAGAAAGACAGCGAATGGGGGTGTGCGTTTAAACCGAAACAGAGCGCCAGGGTGAATCTGGGGCTGAGCGGCCGGTCGGTAAAGTGTTAACACCGAGCTTACCGGAAGCCGACCCCTTGTGAAGGGAGGCGGAGGACTCGATTTTGTGGCAGTGGTTGGGTAAAGTTTTGATCGATAACCCATTCCCCGCAGTTTTAGTTTTAAGTTAGTTATAGCTGTAGTTTGCCTGTATATAGTAAAAATAAGGCTACAGTCGTTTGCGGCAGTGGGTTATCGATGATCAGAATTTTCAACCCCTTGATCTATGATTTTCGAAATTAGACTGTTCTTAACATTACTCGAGGAATTTCGGCGAGAAGAGTTGTTCAGTTGTTCATTTGCAATAGTTTTACCTTTTGCTAGCACTCTCTCGATTTAAATTTAAAATTTAGAAACGTCGACGAATCTGACACTGGAACTAATGTAGTACACGAATAATCGTACTCGACACGAATAACCGAATCTCGAAGAAACGTTGGTCCATCGAAGGAACGACGCAACGGCAAACAAAGGATCCCGGAAAAAAATTGGCGATTCGAATCAGAGGCTGGCGGTGCATCGATCTAATCTAGAAAAATGTTCATCTCCGGTTTCCGAACGATCCTATTGTACCTGTTGCCCTGATTTTGCAATACGGAGAGGCTGCATCTCGCGCTCCGCGGCTCCGGCGAGGGGGGAGGAGGAGTTTACACTTTCGATTCCTCGAACGGACTCTTCTCCAAGCGATTCCTGCCCCGTTCCCCGCGGGACAATGATCGGACGAAATGTTACTGTGCCACGAGGAAGTCTCTCTCGCGTGCTCGACCTTTCCGTACGTCCTTTTCGCGGTGGTTCGCGGAAATTTCGCGACTCGCGACGCGATGATCGCTAAAAATTTGTTAACTTCGATAGACTGGGTACTGGGAAATCTATGATAAGCGAAGTAAACAGGCTCGCAACTGCGATAGGTCTATCGGACATCTGTATCTGCTTCTTTCCTTCTAAACTGTCGTTGATCAGTTTCAATCGATCGCGTGTCGAACAGTTAAAATTTCATAATTGGAAGATACAATTATAAAGTAGGAAGATAGATCCATTATTTAGTCGCGATAAGTGTCAAGTCATCTCATAAGTAACGTTTTCTATGTTAACTTCCATGGATGATCTCTCATTTCTCAGCTGATTTTTTAATCAATTCTTTTATTTGATTTCCGAGAAAGTTCTATGATTTGCCGCTTGAAAAATTGTAAAGAACGTTATCTGTGGGATGACCTAATGCTTTGAAATTTGTTCCGGACCCTCATGGTAATCTTACAAACACAGAATGACGTACTTAGCACGCTGAATACCATGGGGTCACTGGTGACCCCCAACCAAATCGAATTGCTATAGTACACTCAATGAAACGATTATTTGAAAACATTTCTATATTATACATAATAGTCCCTAATGATTAGATTATCGTGCAATATCAATACAATTTAATCGAATATTTTATTTTTTCCATTCTGCATATTCTACTTCATGAAATCATACGACATTCAACGTGTTAATCCCCAATTTCCAAAATTAATCAAGGACAGAACAAAGGAAACAAACAAGCATACAATCGAAGAAAGAAAGACTAGCGAAGAAATCTCCAAGAGCAACCAGTCTAATAATAACACAATCAACAACGCACAATGCATCCTTAAAAAAGGTCGCTCGGTGCACACGCTCAGGCTGGCCTTGACCGACTCGGCAAAGGGAGTGTCCCGCGAGATAGAGCTGCGCAATCCGAAATTTCTAGCGATCCTAAGAACGATCCGCGGGGAAGGATTCCCCGAAAGGAAATAAGAAGCGTTCGTCCCTAGACTGGATCGGCCACGTGGGACGAGCCATCTCGAATGGCGTTCTGACCTTTCCACCGGGGAGAAGACAAAGAAGAGACCGCGCGCGAGCGGGCGAGCGGGATAAATGCATGCTGGGAGCGTGTCGCGGCACGCGCAGGTGGAATTCAGGTGTGGGTGTGTCGCCGCGGGTATACCTCGTCCGAGATATCTCCCAAGTGTTGACAATCCTCCGTCTCGAGCCTCTCCTCGATTTCCTCGCGGCTCCTCACCACTGTCTCGTTCGATTCCTTTTGGACCACGCTACCACCGTCGGCGGACCTTCTTCCACCTGTCGGCCACTCGACCTCTTGCGGCTGGTCCCCGGTTGTTCGCCTCTGGGAACGATAATTGGTATAAGGACATTGCTTTGATGCGTCTTTGGTAATCACGTAGTTATATGTAATTTCATATAGTTATATTGTATTTTATTAATATGTATATATATATATATATATAACTATATGACTATATAACTATATAACCATATAACAATATAACTATATAACTATATAACTATATAACTATATGACTATATGACTATATGACTATATAATGAAATTACGTATAACTACTATATATATACTGTAGTTATATTGCATTAATATGTATCTAATAAATTAGTAGATCCTTTATAATTAGTAGGCCATTTATAATATGATAGCTTGATGCTAATACGTCTTTAACATTACTGATATTTTAGTAATATAGCGTTCAGCCTTGCCAAGCAAAGATGCGACTTGGTTTTGCAAAGTTTGTACAACTATTTTTGACTGAGTTTATGGTTGGCCGAAGTGTTTGTACAGTTAACATTAGCACATTCCATCGAATGGAATCGCTAGACTAACAACCATGAAATGGTGGACTGTGAAGAATTTAATTTTCTTTGATTCCGCAATCGGCGATTACTGTAAACGGTCGGATATTTATAAACGGTAATGTATATATGCATGTGTTGCAAGTAGACTGAGAATTCTTATATAAATATATAATTCCACCGTCGTTAAACTAAAGCATTATGTCCTCCAATAGTAATCTAGTTAGAAAAAAACCAGTATTCAACCGAAGTGAGAGATTAAACGTTCACAGCGTACAAAATAAATCACGTATCATATGCGACAACAGGAAACTGTCAGAATAAAAACTAAATAAGAACTGCAGTTCACTTGACCTACAACAGTAAACGTTGCCTATTCTCACAGAATGCTAATTGCAACACTTAGCGATCCATCAAAGCGTCCTCTGCCTAGCAATCCGAATCGAAGCTGCACTCCAAATACCAGAAACTACCGTACACAAGTATACTCATTAAGAAAACGAATTCATCTCACACAAAAGACTACTACTACATCCCCCACAGATATTCTCCTCCAAAGTAATTGCGAATTGCTGGAAGACTAATTTTAAAGAAACCCCTTGAGAACTACTCAAACACGGGTGCCATCGACTAGAAATTAGCCGAAGCCTCTGTCCATAACTCTCTCTCTCTCTTTGCTTCTAGCAAATACCACAGCTCGTCAAAAGAAACCATCCATAATAGCTGTCCACTGCGCCATAACTGCTCCATGCTAATAGCAATTTAAGTGCTCGTGGCAAAGCAAACAGCTGCTACAAGCTATCGGCGTATCTCCAACTTTCAAAGCCGATTATCCGAGGAACCGAGTGCCCCGTGGAAAAACTTCATTCCGCGCTTTCGGCGTGTCTTTCCCCGGCGGGATCGCTCTGTTCCGGTAATTTCTCGAGTACACCGGAGCAGAAAGTGCCCGACCGCAAAGTGTTAACGATTAGAAGCCGGGCCGGGGACAAGAAACGTTCGAGTACTTCTTGCGTGGTGTGCTCCTGTTGCTCGACATCCTCGGTGGTGTTCGTGGTGACCTGGGGCCCGGAGTCGACGACCACCTCGCCGTCCTCCAGCACGACCTGCCGCTTCACTCTGGTCTCGATCTGCCTGGTGGTAGTGATTTCCTTCTTCTTGCGGGTCTCCCATTCTTCTGAAACCGGAAGCGGGTTCATTCGTTCGTCTCGGGGCTGTTGCTCGTCGCTCGCAAAAAAGAAACGACTCCTCTAAGGCTAGGGGACGGACGGTCCGAGTAAGAACTATGGGGACTGGGAAAACTCGTGGCACCGGGGGCCGTTGAGAATCGTCGTCTTTACGCTTGGGAATTATGAGTCAGCGAAATTTGCAAGCTGGAGTAGGATAAGTTGGAGTGAGAGCAGATCTCATTTAAATTGGCAAATGTATGTGCTTGTGAATTTATGTAAGTAGTTTGTGTATTCTATCTTTCTGTGTATCTATATTTATATAAATAGTCTATGTATTCTATCTATCTATCTGTGTATCTATATTTATATGAACAGTATATGTATTCTATCTATCTATCTGTATATGTATATTTATATGAATAGTCTATGTATTCTATCTATTTATTTGTGTATCTATATTTATATAAATAGTCTATGTATTCTGTCTATCTATCTGTGTATCAATTTATCTACATTTTTAGTGATATACTGAATATTATACAGAGGTGTATTCTATTATCCTCCTTATAATTATTTGCTTTAGAAATATACTTCTTTTTGATAGCAATCAATGTTATTTATGGTGTAATAGTTCTTCAAAAAAATGGACCATCTGTCCCCGCTTACTTCAAATGGATGGTAGAGTAAATGTTGAAACGAAATCGAAATTCCAGAATAAATAGACAGAAGAATGATGGAAGAAAGGGGAGAAACGAAAACACTACGTGTAGATGTAGATATCGGTCCACTGAACCGTTTCACGCGAGAATAGGACGTCGGTTTGCACGCGACACGCCTTACACCCCTTATCTTCCATCTTGGCTGTTTGAATCGCGACACCGAGCGCCGTCGTTGGCAAACAACGCGCGACCGTCCTGTTCGGGGAATTACCTTCTTTGACCAGAGCTATGGAATTCTCGGGATCGATCTGAAAAAGAGAATATAAACGTAATAGTAATGGAACGATCGTATCGGAACGCGAAGAGCTGGAAACACGCCCAAATGAAGAATTAAATGTAATTTGCATTTCGCGAGTTGTAGACGGAAAATGTACAACTAATTAACTGCAACTACAACTACAAATTAACAACTGACATAATCTGGGCGATTCATCCCTTTAACTCATTTAAATAGGTACAATTAACACTTTGCACTCGAGACTCAGTCACCACTTGATTTGCTACAGCAAAACTATGAAGTTGAATACTTAGTATTCTAAATGAAACTTTGTATTATTGTGTGAAATATTTAAATAAAATAGCTTTGATGCTTAATTTTTCTGTGAACTATTAAATTAGTTTCAAACTATGTCATCTATATCTAGTCGGAAAATGTTTTTCCAGTGAGAAACTTTCGAGTGCAAAGGGTTAACTTGTTTTTCCCTTTTAGACTACATTACTGACTTTTCTAGTTAGTGGATTCTTCAGCGAGATAGTCAAGGAATGAAAAATACGAGACAGATCTCTGTTTACTCACAAGAATTGGTGGATGGCTCGCTGGCGGTGGACGAGCCTCGTATCGGCGTGTCGAAATCACCTCCATCATTCGATCATGCCTGCTGATGGAACCCGGTGGTCTTAGAGGATCGTAACAGGAAGTGGATTATCGATTCACGAGTTCCTCCAGCGGAAATCTGCTTGGCGAACCGGTGACCCAGCTTCCCTGGAAGAAAGACAACACGCGAGTGAGAACATTGATTATACCCTCTCTTAACGCTGGAATTACTGCACCCGTCGAAATGACAGGTTTCAGTTTTCTTATTCCGTAATTATTGATGCCTCAATAATGTTTAACCGTTTGAGTCTCGAGCGGCGCGATGGCGGTTCTCCGTTACACTGCCTGAAAGTGCCAGGTTTCCTTTTAATTATTCATTTTTGTTATTACCCGCTTAAAACTATAAAAATTGAAACGAAGCGCGATCGCAGTTGGTATTTTTCGAGCGAGTTCTTGCGAAAATCGGTGGGATTCAAACGGTTAATATCCGAGATGATGTTAAAAGCAAATAGCTTCACTTGAATATTCTAACGAACGTCTGAAGAAGTCGAAGAAAATCTATTGTCACGATTCGTATGAGAACTGCTCGGCTTAAACGCTCGTTAGTTCGCGAGTAATAAACAAAACGTTATCACAGTCATAAGTCCGAGCTCGGACATCGGTACAAATTAATTTCAAATCGATAATCGTTACCGACATCTCAATCGAATGATAAATTCTTGAGACCCCGATACCTCCGCGAGATTTATAAACGCCGTGGCCTACGCGCTGGCGCCTCACCACGCATCGAAGTCACCCGACGCGGTATCCCGACGATTATCCTTTGCACGCGCGAATTCGGTCGAAAGGAATGTCCGATTATTACTACAAATTGCAAAATACGCGAGAGGAGTAATAAGAGATTACACGCGCATTAGTGGGCTCGTCGCTCCGGACGATTAATTGCCAACCGATCCGCGATTACGTCTGTAAACGTTCGGTTCCAGGAACGATCGAGGACACCTGGACGCGAGGATCACCGTGAATCGTTTAGAACAGTGGTTCCCAACCTCTCCCGGTCATCTCTAATCAGTATTCTTGTTATCTAAACAATGAAGGCCATTAACTGCACTAGCTTCTACAGAACATGGCGTCTACGAAAGAGACAAACAAAAGAAAGTACAGTCGAAATACTGAAGACACTAAGAAATTCCTACAAATAAAATAATAATAATACAAGGAGATACCAAAGGAAATAGCAAGCTTAAAAATTCAACAGAAGACTGAAATGATTAAATATAAAATAATTTCAATGAAGGCTCTTCTCTATTATCCAATTCGTTATCAGCTTAGTCGATTTGATATTAAGTGCAAATTAGTCAGCTTCACTCTCAAGTCACCTCGTTTAGTATCCTGTCGATTTCCTTCCTTCAGTATCGAATCATTCGCATCATTGAAGCCAGATTCAGCGGAATGTGCGGATAGGAAAGGTAACAATAGTCTCCTCGAATGATGGAAATTGAAAAATCAAGATTGCGCCCCGCGTTGGGAACCACGGATTCAGAGGCACGAAGACGCAGTCTATTTAACGCTTCTAAGCGTAATCGCCGCGCGCCGAGCGTCTCTGTGTGCGTGTGAACGGGGTGTAATAATTCATCGGGACGTTCTTTCTGCATGGAAGTCGAAGGCCGCAGTGGCACGCGGGCCTGTGGTCGCGACGACCACCTCGATATGGGCTGCGATACGATATCGAGATGGTTAAAGACACGCGTGCGCCACGTACGGACCAGTTGCCGATCACAGTGGCGTATCTGTGTCAAATTGTTGCCGTTGTCTAGTCACGAGCCATTCAACTCTTCGAAATGACACGTTCTGTACGAACAATAGACAGGAGTGTAAACATCCAATTGATGTTTAACACTACCGAGCAATCAAACTCACTTTTTCGAATTTCTCTACGGGAAATGAGAGTGCGGCTCGCAGGATTTCAGTGGACGATTTAGTCTGTTTGCTGCTAAATCTATTTCTTTGTAGTTTTTACTAACTTTTCTAATTATGTCCTTGATAACCTGAATTGACGCTGCTCCTGTTTAACTCTGCTTATCTCTTCACAGTGGAAATTTCTTGGCTCGCCCGAAAATTTGAAATATTTTTCATTTGTAGTTCAATATTTTAATACTTTATGTGTAGCTTATATTTTGTGCGTTTCATAGTTTTGCGCAACTTGGTCTTTTTCCCTTTAAAACCGCGTGCCTCGAAGAGTTAACGGAAACGAGGGCTCAGGCTACGCCATTGAGCGCCTAGCGTCCTTGCGGTTGAAATTACGCACGGGCTCTCCCCGTCCCGGCTGGAACAGGTACGCAAGTACCGCGATTTTTCCTCCCCTAGTATCTAGGCTTGTAACGCAGCGGTCTTCTGGCACAAAGCGATGGCTACCGCGAACCGCGGATAATCGACTTTCATTTTTCATCGGGGCAGGATCACAGCTTCGCCGGTCAAAAGTCGGTAACGTTCGAATAATCGCGTGTAAACTGGTATCTCGGTAACAATGCAATGTTCCTCAGTGATTCGGCAAAAAGAAGAATGATGATTATCTTGTACCGGCTTGCATAATCCTAATGAATAATTAAAGATCGTTGCTACTGCTAGTCGAACTATATCACATGGTTCGCTCTTAATATTCATTATTGCTTATATTTGCATATCTATATATGTACCTATTATTTTTTAAGAAACTTATTGTTCTCGTTGTTAGCAGACATTTCGTTTCTGATCAAAAGAAACATGTTTCCTCGAGAAATCCGATAAACTGATTTTTGGCCAGAGAAACGTCGATTTCTTCCCACTGCGAGTTCGAGCTGGAAGAACGAGTTGCGGGGGAGGGGGCGGGCGGACTACGGCGAGGCTGGAAAACAGGTGCGATTCGCATTGACATCACGCACGGCTGCGACGATTCTATATACGACCGTGTCGGCCCCGGCTCATTGGATATGCGTGTGACGTCAGGGATGCGTCATGCTCGTGTGCGGCGGCTAAACAAGTGAAAACTGTCCGACAGGGAGGACATTTTTCTGCTCCGCACTCGACGTTGAGAACCTTCTCAAACGATCTCGCGTGAAATTCTGCTGGTTCTTGTCGTTCGGATATCGTTTTTGCTTACTTCAGACGTTTTCTAATCTAGTTTTCTCGTGACTTAATCGGGACCAAAATGGTTCGGATAGTCGAGTGCAAAATTCGGACAGCCAGTAAGACAAATGACAAACGAAGCATCACTGATTCATAATCGAGATTTGGGTGTATTTACCATACTAATATATTACTATAGTAGAACGTAATTATTTCGTCTAAAAGCATTGATACTAGAGCTACCAGTCATTCAACGCGATTTATCTATTATTACATTCTGTAATAGAAGTAGTCGCAAACCCTAACAAGAACGCAGAAGATTAGGCGCAGAACGTTTGTTAAACGCGCTGTTTCGCAGCCTCTGAATCACCATGGCCCAGTGATTTGAACGCACGACCGAGGGACGAAAAGCGACGGGTAAATAGAGCGATCGGGGGGGAGCAGGTGGACACTCGTGGGCGGTATGCGTGCAATGCGACGGACACGTGACCTCGGCAAGGACGTCGCCATTTTGAGAGAAACGCTGAGCGCGGCAAACTGACGGCACCGACGTTCGCTCGATTTTCCTGAGCATTCCCAAATAAAATCAGCGACTCGATTATCCTCTTACTCCGCGCAGATCACTCTCACGGTTAAATATTCGTCCGAGTTTTTTACAGACAGGTTTCCAGCGAGTGTACACCCACGCCCACGCCAGAATCTACTTGACCCAAAACCTTTTCAGCCGAGTCACACGAATATTTCGACGTGCAGCTTCGAGATCCTTCTGCAAACTTCTTGACTGTACTCTAAGGACGTGTGCCTTGTTGCTGATCTAGTCTTTCTTACAAGAACGATAGAATTTTAGTTTAGTAGAGTACAAAAATGGGTACGGAACCTCGCTCGTCCAATCACGTCGAAGGACAAGTTCGAGTAACCGAGTTTGGATTACTCAAGCTCATCAAATATTTAACTCCTGATCTCACTTGTTCCTATGAAAGAGCATCTTTACGTTCAGATGATAGAGACCGTTTACATCCTCGATTGTTTCTCGTTTCCAACACATAGACTGTCGTTTACTCTCGCCAGTAGTTCGGATAAACGAGGTTCCACTGTACTGTAGGGAGATCACTAGACGGTTAGCCCCAGGAACGTGGACCTAACTGATCAGTCTCGTCTTTCTTGCAATGACAATTTGCTACTCGACACGAAACGCGTAATTAATCTAAACAATAAACAACACACACTGTCCCGCTGGACACCGAGTCATCGTTCTACCCACGCGATCCGAAAACAGTGTCACCATAGCACCACGAGTGGCCGAGATCGATCCTCCTGACGGCCGGGCGGCAAGAACGCCGGCGAACGTGTCTTTCCAGCCGATGCACTGGGAAGATTCCCATCGTTTTTCGTGCACACGCCGCGTTACGTAACGAGCTGACAATGCATGCCAGGCCTCTCGTAACATCCTCGCGGAAAAAGGCGGTTCGATGGAAGCGGGGCGAGCCGTTTTCCCGGGCCACCGCGTGGTGGCCTACTATCCGTCCACGACTTGAACGCGAGGGGACCAGCACGGGAGCGAGGAGAACGCTGCGAGCTTTGTTTATACTTTCGATTGGTACCGCGCAACGAGAACAGCGAACAGAATAGCTAATTAGAGTGGAAGATGAGGACCGACCAATTGGACCGCATTCCTCCGCTTGGACATCGAGTCGAAGACGGCCGGTAGCCAACGGAGGAACGAGGGGATGAAGTGGCGCGCGTTGGAGCCGAGCGGCACGAGAGAGGAGAGAAAGAGCCGTGTTTACATTCACCTGATTCGATCCGAGCGGTCCGATCGTTCTTAAATCCTTGCGCTTCCGCGCGGCGACGAGCACGCCTGTGCCTCGTATTGCAAGATCAAAACCGACACTGAACGAACGATCGCGACGGGGTGGTTCACGCGTCGAGCGACGAGCGCGGTGTCGCAACGTGAGGAATCGGTGACGGAGCCGCGAACCAAGTTCCCGCGCATGCTGCCGTGGCCAGCGCTCACGATACTGTCCGTCCATCGAGCACTTTCTGACGGATCCGCGGAGCTCTCCCAGTAGGAGACGACGATCGCCGGAGCGGCACGAAGCGCGGCCCGAAGTTATCGGGTAGTGATGAGATCAGGCTGGATCCAAACGGGGACTGTTACTTTCCTCGGCCGGGGCCGGAGCGGGATACACGGCTACCAAATTGGTCCCACGCACCGCGTTCTGCAAACAGTTCCTCGTGTATAGCAGCCGCAGCTTCGTCGAGTCTTTTCCTATCCTTTAAGCTGGCCACCTGTTTCGGAGCGGAGTCGCGCGACGCTCGAGTCTTCGACGCTTCGCGGTTCAACCTTCGCAGTTGAGTCTCGAAGGCTCGGAGCTCAACGATGCCCTAGACTTCGAAGCTTCGAGGCTCAACCTTAAAGGCTGAATCTCTTAAAGGCTTGAGACCTTGCTCTTAGATACGATGCGCCACTACAATGACTTTCGCTGATGTCATCTTATATTATGCGCCGAAGTGGCTTTCACGGATATGATCTTTACGAACAGCACGTCGCTGTAGCGGCACAGTTCTTTCTGTCATCGATAATAGCACATTGTAATCTAATTTAACGCACAGTGGAAAATTCCCGTAGCTAAAAGGTTGAAGACTCGAGCCGAGACTTTAGCTTTTAGAGCTGAACGTTCGCAGCTTTCAAGGCTCGGAGTTCAGCTAATGTTTACAATCTACTCTGCGGAGTAGAACTGTCGCTGGTTGCTGGGAGTACTTATTCGAAATGACCACGAGCTTCGGGTAATCGTGTCAATATTCACTTGGATAGTCTTACTCTCGAATGGACACCTACCTCTAGCGAACACCTTTCTATGACCTTGGGACGGATTCTGCTAGAAATTCGGGACGAGAGGTCGCCGGCCACGTAGGAAGCTTTTAGAGGCAAATTTGGTGTTTAATTTGTCGCTGATACGGACGGACTTGGGTGGATCGAGCACTTAGTCAGTCCTCTTCTCGTCGATGGTGTCATCCTTCAGGGAGCTAACTTTACGAGTTCCCCGTATCCTGTCCACCGGCTGTAAAAGGACAATCCGGTGCAACTGGAGAATAGCCGTAGGTACGTTCGCATTCTTGCGAGGTCAGGCTCTGGATACCAGGCGGACTGTTACTTTCTTCTGTGGACAGAGCAGAGTGTCGGGTTCCCAATTGCTCCCTATTGGTATCGCTCAATGGTCCGATGGAACGACGATTGCGTCGGGGGAATGACGAATGGATATTAAAATGCTCCATTCAAAGGCGATCATCGCGGCCATTCGTTCGTCGTCCGGTGGACGTCCTCTTCTACAATGAAAACAGAGGGCAGGGTTAATTTAACCTATCATCGGTTTCGCGTAACGACCGATTGATCGTAAACAAGGAGCACGATTGCGGAGAAACCAACGGAACCGATTGTACAGGTAATTGAGTGGTTGATTAGGGACCCGTCGACTCGTCGTACAAGCGCCGCGGAGAGCCGGCTGTGACCTGCTGACCGATTTCGCCGAATCACGAGTGTCCTCGACTCTCGCGACGATATCCCTAGCAGGTCTTGTCCCTGATCGGATCGCCGTCTTCGCCGTGACAAACGCACCTTCCTTTTGGTCGCTTGACCTTATACAGACGGCGATTTTCCCTCGTGTCCGGCGATCGGTCTTGGTTAATCGTACACGTGTACTCGCTGCGTGGCAAAAACCGCAGCAACTCGTCGGTTTTCCTCTTGGAAAACTGCAGCTTGCCGAACGCATCATATCGATTTCCGAGCCAATTGAATCGTTCAATCCTCGAAGTGCGAATCCAACGCTGCAGCCGGCAGAGTGCGTAATTTTCGAGGCTCCGATCGCGATCCCAACGATCCAGGAAAAAAGGGATTCGGATCGGGGAAACTCTGGCCGAATAAATCCCCGGAGGCGTCCTATTCTTAGCGGTACGGGTCGTTAATATGCAAATGCGTCGTTTCAAGCGAATACCTTATAAACGCGTGCGTGCCGAGTGATTCATCCGTGAACACAATCGAAATATTGTGTCTTAATATCTCCGGCCGCCCTCGAAAAAGAAGAAGGAAACGCGCGCGCGCGCGCGCTCGGCCTCGCCCGGAAGAAAGGTGTAAGGGGACAGAACGAGGAAAAGGGGGTCACCGGTCTAAATATGCAAAACCGCCGAGCCCGAATCTTCCTCGAAACGGATTAAGTAACGTCTTTCGTCAGCGGACCGGCGCGAGCGTGTCGTTCCAATAATTATCGTTAACGTTCTGCCGGCCGATCGTTATCCCGTGACTCAATACCGTCGGCTTGTTGTCGATGCGCTCTGTTTACACCGAACAGTGACGCTGTAATGGGCGTTATCGTCGCTGCCCCCGAACAGCCGCTCGAAAACCGTTCGCCGAACGAATTTTGCGTTTCGATTGCGCAACGCGACGGCGGCGGGAAGAGCAAAAGGAAACGGAGCGGTTAAGCTCGCTCGTTAGAATTAAAGAACCGCTCGGAAGTGTTTTGCGGAGCGTGTGCAACGTAATAACCGGACCCGCGAGGATGCGAATCGTTCCGCGCCGCTCGAAATAATTATAGAATCGGTGTACGCCGCGATCCTTCCTCGTTCGTTTCATTCATGCCGAGCCTCTCTCTCTTTCTCTCTCTCTCTCTCTCTCTCTCTCTCAGACACTCTCTCTGCCTCTCTCAGTCGATCGGTAATGGTTCCGTAGTTCTTTATGCATTCGTCGCTCGTAAAAGTTTTCGAAACACAACGAGCCACAAGGTTTCCAAGGACTTCGCGCTGCTCCAGATTTACTCGTTTATTCGACGAGGCTGAGGGAAACAGAAATCTGATTAATATCCTGCGATAACGAGTGGGTTCTTTAATCTGACCGATTAACTGTGTTCGACACGCACAGTTCCATTTCCTCCTGACAGATCGTCGTGGATAACGCTGTCTTTACGCAAATACGATTTCGAAAGAGACCGCGAGATCAGGGGTTAACTCGCAAAAAAGGTAATTTGCATGAACGTTGCAGTCTAATAATAAACTGGTACCGCGGTACGGATTCAAAGAGCAAGTTTGTGGGACGAACGTGTCCCGTTGGTGATATAAGGGTTCAACCGGAGGCGAAGGAAAAAAAGCGTGGACAACGTACGTCGTTGCAGCAACATTCACATTCTCTCTCTCTTTCTCTCTCTCTCCCTCTTGTTAATCTCGTTATTCCCGGTTTTCCTTGACGCTAATCCCGCTCTCCGCGCGCGCAGTCGGTGATCGCGGTATCCTTGGACCGATGATCGCCGGGTATCGCGAGACCATCGAGCAATGGTGCCAATGTCAATAACGGAAAACGGAGAGCGAGAGACGAGTAACCGGAGCAATCAAGTGGCGGCGGTCGTCCGGCAATTTAGCGTGTCCGTAAAGGCCTCTGCGAATTATGAAACGTGCTGGCGATACCTGCATCGATACCGTGATGACTGCATCGTTTCAGGTTGGCTAGACATTTCTGATCATTTTTCACTTGTTCTGTGATTACAAATTCAAAAGTCGAAGAACACTGGGTCTCTGATTGATCTGGCATACGTTGACTAGACACATCTTCAAATTGATTTGTTTCCTTAAATAAATGATAGCCCATGTGAATCGCTCATTGACCA